GAGAGAGAGAGAGAGAGAGAGAGAGAGAGAGAGAGAGAGAGAGAGAGAACACGTCATGGTGAGAGAACCTGAAGATCTGCAAAGGTTCCTCCTCATGTACTCAGCAGAGTACTAACAAGCACATGCACTCGAGGAACAGTGCCTATCCCCACTAGCAATGAACAGAAGCTCTTCCTGAGAAAGCCCAGACATTGGACATACAGGAGTAAAACCTAAAATTTTCAAAGAACTAAAGCAAATCATTTCTAAAGAATGAAATGAAAGTATGAGAAAAATGTCATATTAAATAGAAAATATTAGTAAAGAAGAAGTAATACTAAATCTACACAAATTCTTCCATAAAACTGAAAAACTGGGAATTCTTTCCAACTCATTCCAGGAGGCCAGTATTATCCTGTTACCAAAAGTAGACTAAGACATTACAAGAAAACTGCAGATCCCCGTTTCTCATGAACAAAATGCATGTAATTCTAAATAAAATTTTAGCAAATCAATCCAACAATTTATAAAAAGGATAATATACCACTATTGAGTAGAATTTGTCCCACAAATGGAAGATTGGTTATCAGTGTTTGGAAAAATTAATGTATTTCACTATATTAACAAATTTAAAAAAATCATATGGTTATAGCTGTCCAAATCTCAAATGGGATCTGCAAATGCTAAAGTCCCTTATATAAAATGATGACTTTTGCATATAACCTATGCACATCCTACTTTAAACCATCTCTAGATTATTTATAGCAACTATTAAAATATAAATGCTATGCAGTCCTTACACTATGTTGTATAGGGAATAATGAGAAGAAAATAGTCTATACATTTCCAGTACAGATGTAATTTTTTCACTCAAATACTTTTGATCTGTGGATGACTGCATCCAACAGATGTGGAATCAGCAGATACAAAAATGGGTACAGTGGGCAGACTATACTTAACAGATGTAGAAAAAGCATTTGACAAAAATCTAACATCTGTTCCTGCTAAAAACTGGCAACGAACTAATAAATAAAGAAAACTACTTGATAAAAGGTATTTTTAAAAGATATGACAACATTATCCTTTAAATGATGAGACTGAATGCTTTTCCTACTCAATTTCCATAAGATCAGGAACAAGACAAGAATGTGTACTCTTATCATTTCTAGTCAACTTCATACTAGAATTTAATCAGTACAATCAGCAAGAAAAAGAAAAGACAAGTTGTTTTAATATCACTAATCTTTGGGCAAAAGATGTGAACAGACATTTGGTTAAAGATATATATATATATATATATATATATATATATATATATATATGGAAGATAAGTGCATAAAACAATGTGCAACATCATTAGTTGTTAGGGATATGCAAATTCAAACCACAATGAGATACATCTATAAATTAGAATGGGTAAAATTACAAAGACTGGCTATACCAAGTATTACTGAGGAAGTAGAACTCTCATATATACTGGTAGAACTGTAAAATAGTACAATCATTTAAAAAACATATTTGGAAAACAATATAGTAGTTTATTAAAAATTTAAGCATAAAATAATTATATGATCCAGCTGTTCCATTCCTACATATTTTACCCAACAAAACTGAAAGCATGTA